AGAGAGAGAGAGAGAGAGAGAGAGAGAGAGAGAGTCAATGGCGACGATTAAAAAAGAATCGGGCGAAGGTAGGTGGGCATCGCGTCTCCATATAGGGCGCTAACCGAAGCCGCTGGAAGGTCTTTTAGATCCTAACCTGGACCACTCCAAGCTCTCGCGAGGTGTGACCTTAACCCCGCGATGAATTTGGGAGAGCCGAAGGCTCAATCTCGCCGTGTTGCCGTCGGCGTTGTAACGAAGGTGCTCTCGCGGGCTAATGCGATCTTCTGCCTTCTTAATGCCACGGTGCAACCTGTTAAGCTCTCTCCGAGTGCCAATTGTGCGGATATTTTCATCTAGAAATGTGTGAGATTACGAAATTATGTAGAATCGTGTTGCCTTGAAATAAATTGCCTCGTCGAAGTAAATCGCGTTGTAGGGCGGATGAATCCGCTTCGTTACATCTTCTGCTCGCCATGCGAGCGACGAGATGCAAATAACACGTGACGATACGCATGTGACGCGATTTTACTCGAGAAATAAGCTGAAGATTCTCAAGAAAATTTCTTGATAAAATTCCTTAATAAAGTTTCTCCCCGAAAAAAGATATTCCAGACTTCAAATTCAGAGAGAATATTCTTCTAATCTTATTTGGTTAACCAAAGTCTCGTTAATTTCAACAGAATTCTAGTAACTTCAGCCAGAATTCTGACTCGTTCATATATTTCACCGGATATTCGGTTAAAATTCGACCAAATTTTTTTTTCGTGTTGCTGTACAAAAATTCGGAATTTCAAAGAGTGGAATAATTGATTGAAAAATTTTCGTAGATTTGATTGAAATTTCGCAAAAGAAACTCATTGGCGCAACGATTCAATTCTTGAAATCGAAAATCGCGGGAGGAGATTTACGCGACGCGGACAGCAGCTGATGCACTGGCTATGCAACAGGCTATGCACTGTCGCGCTATGCAACAGGTCGTCCCACGTACCCGAGCTGGACGTTGAAGAGACATGGGAAAAGACGAGATTTCGACGGATGATCGTCCTCTCCGCGGTTCACGTAAGCTTCGCTTTCGTCTCGATGGAATTTGCAATTCGGCCGAATTGTATTCGCACGACGTTCCCGTTCGTTGAAAGTACCATCACGTTCCTTTCCTTGGCGCGCGTGAAAGCCAACAGGCTTGGTGGCTGTATACTCAACGATCGTCCTTGCCCGAAGCGAAATGAAACGCGCGATCCCGACCGGGCATACTAGATCATTACATTTTTCATTGCGCACGTGGCGTAAAGCAAGAAAGAGAGAGAACCGGCCTGTCACTGGGATCTGCATAAAGATCGACGCGTCCGTCCGTCGTTTGAGTCCTTCGAACGCGTGAACCTGGACTTGCATATTGAGTGACTTCAGCGAAATTATGTTAGTGTACAAAGTGAGACTAATCGCGACGTTACATCTCTAATTACGACAATTAGTAGCAGTTATCGCAGCCGATGCGAAGACTTCTCGCCCAGATGTACAAATTCTTTTCTACCTCATTGAATTCTAATTTTTATCTGAATTTTAATCTCTAACACTAAGATCAAAATTAGGATTTAGAATTAACGAAAATTTTAATCTTTTAATCCTTATTTTTATCTTTATTTAAATCTGTAATTCTATGCAACAGACGTCACATAAGCCTTAACGCTTATTAAAATAATTTTAATTATAATCTACATAATCTACCAGAGAGAGAAAGAAAGAAAAAGAGAAAGAGAAAAAAAGAAAGAAATATTATTAAACCATTATTGAAGTTAGTTATTTTAATTATTAATTATATTTTGCTAAAAATGATAGCAATATGGCAAGATAATACCAATCGACTTTGGTGCTGTGTGGGAATGTTATGAGGCATATGTGACGCCTGCTTTACACGAGACGTCATGCGAAACCCGAGGCGTTATTTCGATTCCGCATCAGCGCGGTCTGATCAACGTGATCACCTTGTCGCAACGTAGCTATGCCTGACGATATAATAGATCAGGGGATGAGCCGCCCTTTGCTTTCACTCGTATCTACGATATGTCTTCGGCAGCAAAAACCGATCGGCCGTGCCTCGGAGGCATGAGATCGCACTTTTCGAACAATTATCTCTCGTTTCGTGTTGATCACACACTCGCATTTCTCACGTGCGATCGATCGACGATTCGGCCGGGGGGTGTCAATCGCGATCGTGCGTGTGAATCACGTCGCTGAGTAAGATATCTCAGCACGGGGGAAAAATTGCCGCGGGCGAAAAAAATCCGCGCGATCCCGTAATAGTGTGGCATTAGATGTCGACGCGAGGCGAGTAATTGACAAGCGCTGACATGCAAACGGCTGTGATTGGCACGCAATGGCACTTGCAGGAAAGATTATCGTTCTTTATTACAGGAATCGGAACGATCGTTTTTTTTGCTCGCATTGGTCGTTTAGCCGCGTTGGAAACGTCGCATCGCCGTTAACGCGTACGATTTTCTGCGCTCTTCCGGCTTCCGTATATTGTACATAATATGTACACGCACGTGTATGCAAGAAGTGAAATGAAAGAACCGGAGGCGACATAGAGGCGCGGCGTAATTAAATCGATATTTTCACCGATACTTTTCCTCTGCGCGCCTCTACGCGCAATCGAGAGCACGATTGCGCTGCGCGCTCGCCGCTTCTAAATGCCACGTTTGTTTACTGAGTGCTTCGCGGACAGGGCCGGTATTTAATGCTCGCGGGGATCCAAGTTCAACTGCCTGTCTCGTTGAGCACTACTCAACCAGAGACAGCTGGTCTGTCAAAAATACACGATATTATGCGATTAAAGGCGAAAGATAATGTCTACATCTGTAAAATAAAATAGACATTTGTGTATCAAATATTGGATAAAATGGCTCGAATTAAATGTCAACGAGACGGCAGCAAAATTGTCTACATCTCATTTTATTTTAAAGAGGCATTAACTTAATTTGATTACGCGTTAAGAATATATATTGTTTTGTAGACAGCAGAAAGAAGAGTAAAAAGAACCAAGTGTCAGGATTACGCAAATTTTGTTGCACAAACTACAGTTTAGACACAAACAGTGCAATGTAGACTCATATCGAGTCAGATCAGCAATCTAATGTAAAATTTAAACTACAGAATTTAGTCGATAGTAAAATAAATAAAATAAAATAAATAAAATTAAGGAAATTGAGAAACGTATAGTTGTACATATGACATAAATCTTTCAACTATTAATTGGTTAATCTAACTGCATAATATACAAGAGTAATTGCGTTTCTGGAAGATAAAATGAGTCAGACGATACAAAATGTGTGAAGATAGATAATGATAATCGTCTCATTGAACTAAATTTGGAGCTTCACAGTACTACCGTCGAATAAGGCAACGTTGATGTTACTATTGAACCGTCTCTGCGTGAGCTCGAGGTGTGACCGCGCTCGAATCGGCGCGATCGGCTTGAGGCCGGCCCTGCCCGCTGATTAAAGCAAGTACACCGCGGCACTAATCGCTTATCGCTCGGAGCAAAGGGAAACCGCACCTGTGCGCGCGCGACAGGTACTTGACGAACGTTCCTGCCAGCGAGTGTCCTCGCGAGGAAAAACGCGAGAGTCAGCCGAAGCGCGGGTGAGAGATATCGCTTGTGCGGATTGAAAAGCGTTGAAGTCTCCGCGCGTCGAGTCCCGCGAGTCACGGGGAGCCTCGTGCGAGAGTTGCTCAGGTGGTCTGACTTCGGTATCGCGGCCGTTCTTCGTGATCTGTCAGTGATGTGTCCGCGACGTACTTCTATCTAATTTGTTTAACATGCGGGCAGCGTGCCCCGAGTGAGATGAGAAGACGAGACGCGACCGCGCGTTCAGCCTTGAGCGGAGAACGCGCGGCGAGAATACGAGCGTTCATCGGCGCGCGTTTAGCGGTATAAACGTGATCGTTCGGCGCTGAGCTTTACTCGCTCTTACGAAACTGAATATCGTGCATTCATCTCTGTGTATGTGCACGTGTGTGTTGGACTCTAATGCAATATTAATATTATCTTACGACGTATTAGATGTGGAGGCATCTGTCAACGTCCCTGATGTCGTTAAACGCGTTAGAGATAATTTGAATTTGAGACCCGCGTATTTCCAACGCAACTTTAATCACGCGTTTCTTACAATCGCGCGCGGGGTGTCCTATTTTAAATAAACTTTTAAATAAAGCAATACAAAGACGCGCGTCACGACATCACGCGCACAACGATCTTACGTTTCTCGAGAAACTAGACAGTTATTAATTAATTTCCAACGTTCTTTCTCTTCGAGTTTCAGCGAGTCTTTGAAATTTTCAAAATATTCTCTTAGCTCAGCGAGCTAGCCTACGATGGCTGAAAAGCAACGATCAAAACGTGCTGTCGCGCGAAGGTGCGAAAGGCAAGCGTCAACGCGATCGTGGGAGGCCCCTCACCTGTCTCACGTCCTCTCATCGGAGCAACGCGACGACGATGACTCCCGGGCCGACGGCGGCGCACGGCCCGACTAGCATCTTCAATCGCGGAGCGGCACGCGCGCACGCACTTTTTTCGCCGAGCAGCGGTTCGCGGTAACTGCGTTTCAGGAGCCCGCGACGACGCGACGTCCGTCGCGATCGCGCGCGCGATTCGTCTGCGCGCGTGCGCGATAGGTCCCCTTCCGTCGGCCGTTTGATCGGCGCGCGTCCCCTCCGCGATCGCAACCCCCACGCGCTCCGTGATCGACGTGCTTCCTCTCGCCCTGCGACGCGAACCTTCTCTCTCCGCGCGAACGTCGTCGTCGTCGTCGTCGTCGTCGTCGTCGTCGTCGTCGTCGTCGTCGTCGTCGTCGTCGTCGTCGTCGTCGTCAGAGTTCTTGATCGAGAAAGACGACGACGTTCTTCTCGACGGTTCTCATCGGTGTGCACGCGCACGTTCGAATCGGTATGCATCGCGCGCGTATGCCTCACGCAACAGGAATTCGGCGAAACCGAAGTTATTGACCACTGATCGGCTCGATCATTGGCAACGTCATAATTGTCGGCTAACGACGGATTCGTTCGCGATTTCCTTACGTCTTCTCAACACGGGCCACTATATTGATTTTCATCAATCATTTCAATTGAAACTTGTACATGCAATCAAAGATACATAAACAAATGCAATTCGTGATGCATATATCTTTAGATTCGTTTCATTTTCCTTCTGTTGATCATATAATTTAATTATATGTCGTGGGCGACTTAATTTGTCGTGGACGATTCGTCATCTCTTCCACGTAAATCAATGAGACGCGGCAGCATCATAGTGCCGGTCATCGGTGACCTCCATGGTAGTCAACGTTTCAACGATAATTCCTTATTTCCCATATCTGCATCCTCTCCTTGAGAAACATAACAGACAGTAGGAGTGAGAGAAAAAAAAAGAAAGAGCGGATGCAGGACGGAGATCGAGACGGGAAATAATCTCTCTGCATGTGTATATATAAATAAAGTTGTATTATCGTACCGTACGGAATATACACGGATCACGGATGACCGCTCTGTCGACAGGATTAGTGAATTAAATTAATGCATTTAGCGACTCGAGAGTCTTGATTCGGCTCGAATCTGATTAAAGGTCGATTAGAAAGGTCGCTGATGGAAGTTCGTCGATTGCGTCGGCTGGGCAGTCGAGTAGACCATTCCCGGCGGTTGCTGGTGGGTCATCGCGTGGCTCTGATGCTGATGGAACTCCGGCGCGCCGTGCGGTCCGTTCAGTCTCACCCGTTTTGCGTTCTGCCCATGATTGTGGTCGCCGTTACCTTGCTGCTGCTGGTTTTGCTGTTGCTATTTCACGAATTACTCGGATGAGCGACAAGGGACGGAGAGGGGCGATGTAAAATTCGGATCAATCCTCAACTACCATATAGCGGTGGTATTACAAAGTGGCAACGTGGGTCAAGAGCGTCGCGCGTCTTGCCACTTGCGGCGATCATACAGGGCCGTCAGAAACGATCGTTAAATCGTACTTTTCTTTCTTTCTCTTTCTTTCTTTCCAAAAAAGCACGTGGAAAACGTAAAGCTAAGAGATACATACTTATTTGGATATTACAAACTATTTGTATTGAAGTGAGTATCTTGTTATAGTAGTTGCGGCTTAAACCATATGTGTGTGCGTGTGTATGCATATGTATATAAAGTACAATATAAATATTTCAACGTGTTACTTTAATATATTTCGGAAGTAAATACCGTTTGCTGCTGATTCTGCCTTGCTTTGTTTTCAGTCTTTTCTTCGGTATCGTCGTCCGTGAGGAATTCTCTCTTAGGATAAGGGATAGGGCACCCGGCGAATATGCTGCGGAAGACATAGTATTTGAGCAAATACAACTTAGGGATCATAAAGACGCAAATTATCGACACATAGCAACGCAAATGTAAATACGTACTCCTGAGTTGGCAGTGGCTCTTCTTGGAAGTAGGCATCCTGCATAGAATGTTCCGACGTAATACGTTTGTTCGGATCCATCATTAGTAATTTTTGCAACTGAAACGATAAGACGATAAAAATCATTACGTGTCCGATGTGCTGTTGAATTAAGAATTTTTTTCTTAATTTCCGTACCAAATTAAATGCCTTGCTATCAGGTTTGATCTTATGCCGGTCCATATATTTAGTAAGTGAGCAGTTCGCATAACTGAAAAAAACACACATAGAGTAGAATTTAATATTAAAATTGTCTTGAATTAGAAGTTGGTAGAATGCATTTCTTTTGTACAACAATAGACTCACTTGGATCTTTTAAAGTCTTTCAATAACGTAGGATGCTCTGGCATCTTCTTGATATCCTCCCAATCCTTTTCCAGTGGAAATCCCATCACATTAAATATCCTAAACATAAATTAATATCCTAAACATGATTTATTAATTCAAGTCATTAAGTACAGTTCATTTAGCATCGCTTACAAAAAAATTAAATACAGAGCACATTAAAAAATCACACTGCATCCTCACCTATCTAGTTGATCGTGATGGTATGGATTACTAGTTTTGATGTCTTCCTGTCTGCAATGAAATATAGGTTCAGATGTTAAGAGCTCCGCGAATATGCAGCCAATAGCCCAAATGTCTGCAATTATAAAAGGAGTATTTAATACACTTTGCACTAAACACAGTTGCACAAATACAGTCACGAAATATAGCATATTACAGACCTATAGCTTTTGTGTAATGTCTGGCACCTAAAAGTAATTCTGGAGCTCTATACCAAAATGTTACTACAACCGGATCTAAATCCGCTAAAGGTTTTAAAGGAGCATTAAATAATCTAGCAAAACCCATGTCGGCAATTTTCACACGTCCTCGCTCATTTCCTTCACCCATTACTAAAATATTTGCTGGTTTCTGGAATATAGAATATTAATTGTGTTAATTCACAATTAATAAATACAGTTAAAATGTATGTAGTAGCAACAATTACCAAATCTCTATGGAGGACCCAGTTGGAATGTAAATAATGAATACCATCTAAAATTTGATATAATAAGGATTTTACCATGCCTTTTGGTACCATTACTGGCTTTTTATTAGCCTTTGCTGCTCTGTGAAATTTTATTATATGCTGCAAATAACATAATGATTATACAATATCTATCATATTACTTCAAGATATTTTCTCTTGATTTAGAGACTAATGACATGATAGTAATACTGAATTGAACATACCCATAAATCATGTTCAGCAAAGTCAAACAGCAACCACACTTTACGATCATTATGTGAGAGAAAGACACGAATAAGAGTAATGACATTGACATGCTTTAGTTCCCTGAGTAACTGTAAAAAAAGAGACCTGATAATGCTTCTCTGTTGTGAACTTATGATCTTTTATTATTCAGAAGCAAAGAGATACTTACAGCAATTTCTCGACATGCAGACATCGAAAGTCCTGTACCTTCAATTTGTTTAAGGCCGAAGTCCTTTGTGTCAGGCCGAGACTTTAATTCACTATCTGGTACTCTGTTTAGAAAATATATACATTGTAAACTTATAAAATAAGAAGTTCTTAAATATGTATACATATTGAATTTTCCTCTTAATTGTAATGTGTGGTAGAAGTACTAAATGGACATATATATATATATATATATATTTGGAACAGCAACTTGCTTTGATAAATTTATAAAAATTAACGTTAATGAATCAACTAAGGCTAGATACAACAAATTGTTGCATGCACAGACTCTGTTCCAAAGAAACTTGAGTAAAAACCGATCGACGGGATCAGCAAGTGTTTCTACGTCGATAGAAACTCGTGACTCAGGAGTAGGTTTGCAAATTTCGGGGCAGAAAAAATCGATGTTTTGTACTGCTCCAAAAGGATTGCGTGATGAAGCTATTGTTCATGAGAGAATAGTTGCTAGAGAAACGAAATTAAAAAACTTATGCACAAAATTGTTCATAGCTAGGTTAGGGAGACTAACCCTTCTTTCCTACGGGCCTTGTATACGTGCCCGTAAGTACCTCTTCCGACCTTACATCCCTCAAACTCGAACAGATCCTCGACCTTCGTACGGTCTTTCTGAGTTTTCATCTTAAATTCATAATCCATCATGCTTAAATTTTATCAGTACAATTATCAACTATAAACAAACATCTTTAATAACGCGTGAGCACACACACGAGCTCTCGGCGCACACTACGCGCGCCAGAGATAACGTCGGCTGGACTAGAGACGGTAAGGATGATCAACAAATGAATCGATGTTTGATTCTTTTTTCTTTCTGTAAAAGATTAGAAGAACTTTTATTTCTCATTAATAAATATAAATTAAAGTTCATTCGACCAATTATTCGATAAGAGTTCGCCTGTCACGTCGTTAAATCGCGTTACTTGAAAATAAAAGACTCTCTAATCTGCCGTTCAGCAATGTTATTTAAAAACAAGGAATTTATTTGATACGTTTAATATTAATTCAAGATAAAAAAGCGGTCTGACCTGTTGTTAAGTTGTTTTACTTGAAAATAAAAAGTCCGTCTAATTTGTCGTTGAGTCGTACTACGTCCTCGATTCTCCGTTGAAAGCAATGGAGGCTCGTAGCGGAGACTTTGGAATTAACTTTATTAGGCTGAGTTCAGCGGGGTCTAAAATAGAAATTGTAGAATCGTAGAAATTGACCAATCGCGGTCAATTATTCTTCTCATACTCGATCGCGTAACTGAGATGCGAATACGGCTCTGTGATTGGTTTATAACATTTTAAGACAGTACTTAAGATGATCTTAAATATAAGATTGGACTATGAACACCGACCTTATGCTAATTTCTTCACCTCCGATTAACTTTATCTACCAGTTATTCTATTGGAATTGACCAATCATATTTATGGTTGGCACGATTAACCAATCACGGTTGACATTTATCCGACAGATAAACTTAACCAGAGTTAAAGAAATTGGGCATTAGATTTCGTCCCCTTATTCCTTAGTCCGTGATCGGGCCCCTGGGCCAGTGTTGGGATTCTGTAACTCGTTATTGGAGTTAACGAGTTACAGAATAAGACTACTGAGCCTCTGGCCATTGAAATCAGGCTGGTGGTCGCTCTCATACTTCTCTGTGGTTTCAAAGAATATAGTCCAGCAAGCGCTACAAATGCTTTGAAACGTTTTTACTTCTTTCTCTTTCTTCATTCGAATCCGAGAAATAGAACAAGAAAAACGCTGTACAGCATTTGTAGCGGTTACTGGACCGCGCTCATAGGCTGCATTCAGCAGACTCAACAGTTGAGTAATTTGTCAATGTAATTGGTCTAGATTTAGGGATCTAATAGCAAGAACCAATAATCGTTGATTGCTCACTGACCGCTTTTTCTACTGAATGCGCCCATAATCTCCGCTACGAGCCTCTACTGCTCTTAAGCCAGCAGCACACAGTGCTTGTTTTCATCCTGGATTACTTGCTGATTGGTGCATTTCTGAAGTGGATGGAAATACAAAAACAGAGTATTTTCATCCAGCAAGCAATCCAGCACGAAAACAAGCACCGTGTGCCGCTGGCTTTAACGGAGAATCGAGGACGTAGTACAACTTGATGACAAGTCAGACCAATCTGCTTTATAAGTGATGTAACTCAACAATAGACAGAACTTTTTATCATTCGATAGAATGACAGAGAATAGCGGGTCAGATAGATCCTCACCTCTCTACCTGCAATAGAGAAATTAAGCAAACTGTTTCGTATAAGAAAGTTACGCGCGCGCGTTGATTAGGAACAGCTGTAAAGTAATCAATGATTACTCATTAGTCGACATTGCGAAACGTCGATGTGTAGTGATCTGTGATATTAGTCAACATGCCCGCTACGACTATGCATAAATTAATAACATTTATAGGATTTATGTCTATATTACACGCGGCTTATTCCGCGGCACAACGTAAGTACTTACTTAAGTATTTGCTTCTTATCATTCCCACACAATTACGTGTTTTTTAGGTTAGAATGATGTTGATTATTGACGTTGCAATGGAGTTACTGGTACATTCATTTCAATGCTGCACTTCTGTAGTTGTAAAATAGAATATGTCGATTAAAATGATACATGTATAAATTTTGGATAAAATATATGTAATTGGACTGTCAAAAAAGAAAATGACAAAAAGGATATAACAAAGAGTAACAAAAACAAACAGACCACCTTATGAGAACATTTTATGCTTGCAGATCGCTCATACTTGCGAATCACTGAACAAGAGTTTACCACTTTGCCAATTGATGTAAGTCACATTTTTTATACTACTTGTGCAAAGAGTTTGAGATTAATGCAGTTTATACAAATTATTCCAGAACCTATAAGTAATAACCTAAACCTATAATCTAATCTAGACAAACAGAGAATGTTTTTGGAAGATTCTTTGCTTGTTTAAGTTCTAAAATATATTACTAGAATTGTATATCTTACTATTTTATATTTTTACAGATTTTAATTCAAGGTATAACCAGTTTGTTTATTGTCATGTATGGTGTTATGTACATAGCTGGTGATTTCAAAGAAATTCGGGCAGTTGTTGATTTGGAAAACAAGTCTTGGGAGACGTTACGGAATCTGCCATCTTTTCAAGTATTTAATCACCGTGGAAGATCTCTCTCACCAGACTATATTTCAGCGCCTGCATTTTTGAAATAGTTGTGTACATGTAAGTTTTATTGCGCAGCTATTCTATGATACGATTATATCTGCGCAATGAAACTTACGTATATGTAACTATTTCAAGAATATAGATTCAAAACTATGAATAAAATTATGTTACTTGTTTGTATCAAATCACAAACAAAATTATTCGATATAAAGATTTATTTATGTCTGAGTCATGTTTTTTTTAACTTAGTAAAAATATTCAAGAGAACAGCAATATACAAATAATTACTTTAAATATATATTCGCAAGAGTCATGTTTGTGTGCACAAATCTTCAGATTTCTACCAGTGTTCAGCTATTTACTACTTTTAACGTAAGTAGAATTAAATATGTTGAAACTAGAGTGTCACACTTTGAAAGAGATATAAAAATGTAAAAAAAAGATCAACTGAAAATGTCAAAACCGAGACAGCTACGTGTAAATATACAGGCATTAAATTTAATTATTTATTGTTGAAAACAAATGACACCAGATTGTGATCTTCATCTTGTAATTGTAATTCAAATTGTGAGATCTCAAACACGGCGAGTGGTTTTGTATATGCATTTCACACCCAATTATGGCAGTAAATAGTACGAATAAAAGAAGTTTCGCAATTTCGTCGTGTTTCATTTCTCTGTTCTTTACCTAATTGCGGCATATTTATTTCACGAGAAAAATTAATAATAATATAATAAAAGTGCAGGGAGAGACATCACTTTTTCTGCTTTTTCTTTTCGGCTTCCGCTTCTTTCTCCTTCTCGATTTCTGTCACGTATTTGCCTATAGTATCTGTGTCTAACATCTGCGCCATAAAAAATTACATATTGCAGTGAATTGGTATTTCATTGAAGAGGATCATATAATTTGATCGAAAACCGCAAGTATATACCTGCAACGGTTCTCCACGTCGCATCACAGCTATTTCCAAATTTTTTTGTCCGGACTGAACTACTTCAAGTAGCGCTCTGATCGCTAATTTTATAGAACCTCTTTCCGTCGACACCTCTTCTGCAGTATAATACTTCTCCAAGAATTCATGCACAGTCTTAGCACTGCGACCTGTTGCATTAGCCTTTGAAAGAAACAAGATCAATAAATACGATTATATTAAAGAACCATCTCCAGTTATAATTAATCCTCAGTATGCTACATCATATAATAATTTCAAAGTAAAATAAGTTGTCTATTAATCTATTCTATTAATCTATGTTTATAAAATTTCTTTGTTCTTTAGAAGACATCTTAAGGAATAAGTGATGAATGATCTACTAAGGAATAAACAGATCAAAATTACCTTCCACTCGTAATATATTCCTGACGGTTCTGTTTGATACAGATGTGGTGCACCATCGTAGTCAAATCCAGCTAGGAGACAGGATATTCCAAAAGGTCTACGGCCATTGCTTTGTGTATATTTTTGTTTTAAACCTTTATTTTAAACAATAAGTGTACATGATTAATACAGTTCTCTTGAACAATTTTAATTTTATATTGTGACCACATACCTGCGATATACCTTGTTATATATTCCAAGGTAACAGGATCCTCTACAGTTAATTTGTGACTCTGACATTCGATTTGCGCACGGTTGATTAATACTCTTGCGTCAGCAGTCAAACCTGTTGCAAAAAAGGATAATAGTAATTAATTATTCTGTCTTGTGATCATGATACACAATTAACATTTATCTCAGTAACAATTTTTCACACAGAACCTGCAAAGGCCATAACTACATGATCATCCAGGAGACATATTTTGCGTACTGTGCGTTCCTCTTGCAATTTAGCCACCGATTTCTTCTCTACACCTAAAACCACTACATCAGCCCCACGTACGCCAACCTGTTATTACAAAGGCACAAATCATATGAGCAAGATAAATATCGGTTTCATCAAGAATTCTAGGTCATTGCAATTATGTATAACTTCAGCACAATTGTATAATCTAACAATGATGTGAAGAAAAAGAATATGGATAACATTATTTTTGAAAATAGATACAATATAAAGGTAATTTCTACTGCTAATACAGTTTCTGTGAATAAAAGATTAGTAATTTTAATTGAACTATCTCAATGTCTTTCTTTCAACATCGATTTCTCCGAATTCTTTGACGTATGACGTTGAGATATGTTGATACAAAACTGACGGTCCTAACCTAGCTCAAAGAAATCGCAATGTCATACTCATATCAAATGAATAAAGCGGCTCGAGAGGAAACGATATCTGTTTGTACAATATCTAAATGATTTTAAATCGACAGACAAAAGGACGGGAAGAATTTTCAAAAGGAGAAAAGTAATTGTCGGGAAAGAGTGTATGGAGGTTATATCAAACTGCTGAGCGTACCGCTGTCGAGCCCTTCTTGACGGCTTCCTGAGCGTATTCCACCTGGAGCAGATGACCATCTGGCGAAAATACCGTGATCGCTCTGTCGTATCTCGCCGTCATCGTTTCGATAGTCCAAAATTGGCACGGTTTTGCTCAAAACTCAAAATGACTCCGCCGTTTTCTCAGCGGTCTGCAACTGCACCGCTTCGTTTTTGGTGCGCATACATGAACATGACAACGCATTTCCCTAGACGCCGAATGTCCCCGAACGGATTTCCATGAAGCGATTCTGCACGTTCTTCGGCCTTATCAGAAATCAGTTGTTTTCGCTTGAAAACTCTCCGCGTTATCATTCAAACATTTCTTCTTTTCAATTTTTTTCTACTCTTTTTTTCAATGTTTAGTTGTGCAATTATTTTATCTTAAATATAAAAAAAACGCACCATGTCGCAACTAGAAAGAATGGACCTGAAATCGTATAATATCTTAAGGTTCGTCTACAATTTCTGTAAAAATATGGCTGTAGGCTGTAAGACGCGAAATGAATTATTTTCATTCGCTGACAGCTCACGTTACAGCCTTACAGCCATATTCTTACAGCTATTGTAGACGAGTCTTTAGACAGCACAAATTACTAAAACATGTCTTAAAGACGTCCAGAAGATGTTTAAAAAAATAAGACGTTTTTTGGATGCTTTTAAAATATCTTTTAATAGATTGTGTTGTCTAGGATGCAAATCTAGCTGTTTTGTTCTCGGGTATAAACATTTTACATAGCCGAGAAAAAAGTTATTAAACGTCAACATTATACCTGGGAAAAAAAGATTATATATAATTATATATAAATATATATGATTATATATGATTATATAAATTTTGTTCATATATGTGACTTTATATATGATTATATTTAATTATATATGTTCATATATAAAAATTGTGAAATGAAAAAAGGAAAATATAATTTGATTCGATTAAAGGTCGATATCACGGGCTACCATAAACATAAGCATTTACTTTAATTGTATCTTCACAATAGTATTCTTTTCAATGTCGACATATATAATTATATATGATCATATATAACCATATATAGACAAAATTTATATATAAACTTTTTTTTCCGGGTAAGCTAGAACGTACGTATTTATTTCAATTATATCTTCACAACAGTATTCTTTTTAATGTAGACATACAATAATTATATATGATAATTATATATGGTCATATATGGACAAAATCTATATGAACTTTTTCTTCCTGGATATACTTAAGACGCAGTCGTAAAATTTATAGTAAACTATGCAGTGTCGAAGTAATATGTTGCAGTATAGTAATTAATCAAGATATACTTATGTATTTTTATATTTTCCTATGGTTTTCTCCGCATTACGTCTTTTTTTTCGTCAGGACATCTACCACAGGATGTTGATTCTTTTCTTTCCACGGAATTCCGATGGATATGAATTTCAAACAAATGTTTTCTCACGCTTCAAATGTGCTATTGACTGTTATATTATATAACAGAAGGAAGAACTTCGTTTGGTTTATTTAAGTTCGTTCAGCTGTTCGGCGTGCAGCTCGTCGCATACCAGCCGTCTAATAAAGCCCCTCTCCTTGGTAAAGTCTATCATTAAAAACGATAGTTTATTTTTTCAGCGTGAAGAAACATTCGACGCGCAAAAATGGCGTGAAAAAAAAGAAGAAACGCAACAGCGCATCGTAGAACATCTATAACAAATGTTGCAATTGCGACGCATTATTGCACATTTCGTTTCCGAACATTTACATTCGTTGTTAGTTTTTTTCTCTTTATCTCAGATACGATAAATCGCGATCGATTTCGGCACTTTCATCGAGATAAGATTTCGCGGGCATTTACATAAAGATTATGAGATACAACGCACTTAAAAAGGCACGTCCGTTTTGGCTTCCGGCTCGAGCGCGAATACGGGAAGGAGGGGGGCAGGAGGGCGAATAGATAGAAACGGCATAGCCCCTCTTATAAGAGAAACGATTGGCTTAGAGGTTTAGTCAAGCTGTTCGCTCTGTCACCGCTCAGTGTGTCACGTCCTTCTATACAACATGATCGGGTCCGTATACTTTCTTTTTTATCGTTCGACATGTTCGCAAGTGACTGGTAAAAGTCACGAGTTTGCGCAATTTGCCTTCTTTTTCTTTTTTTTTCTTATTGTCCTTTTGATTTTTTCGCTTTACCGGAATGGCGAGTTGTTTGATTCACGAGGATTCGCGAACGGTGATCCTCAGAGACGCGTGTACGCAAAAACGCAGTAACGCAAAATCTTTTTCGCACGTGACCGTTGAGACCTCTGTTTCGTTTTTCCTTTCCTTCTCTTTTTCGTGATTTGTTTTCGCGCAATTTGCCCAAACGCTCTCGTATCGATGCGAATATACGTGGTTGGTATACTTGTGGTTGTGTGACATGTGCTTACTGAGTCGCTTGGTGAGCATTACGTCGTCAATGTGCTGTCGAATAATACATTCGCAAATAATTTACCGCACGAGGGATTCGGGCAATAACGAACGATCGTAATAACGTGAAAACAAGAATCACGGCGGCAGGGCCATCGATGCTAATTACGGCTACATGAGGCCCGAACGCAGTAAACACACGTGGCAAACATTTAGAGATATTTACCGTCCGTCGTAACAAATTTAAAAGCAATAAAGACATACCTACATCTCGCGATGTGCTTGTAAATAATGTGATTAAAGAGCTATCACAATATTTGACAAGCATCAGCCCCGTTGTCGAGATTAAACGTGCTGCAGTCTCTCTCTCTCTTTCTTTCTCTCTTTTCTGATGTTTGTCGTTTTTCGACTAGCTCATAGATAAGATCCTGAATATAATGACCCCGTTAAAGATTCTATTTGCACCAAGAGATCCGCATTCGTAAAGTTGGAGCGATCGTAAATCAAGCGAATTAGGGAACGCAAATAAAAGTCATGAATCCTTTTTTTTCTTCAACAGTTAAAGCACGTGAGAATTAAGTTATGTCGCGATTGTCTCTGTGCCTCTTTTCAGGCACGAATCATGAAGGGATACGGCGGCTCTTCCGCGGCAGAGCATTAGCAAGGGATGAGATCGCCTCGCGGTACCCCAGCAATTAGCAATAACGCAATCACGTGCAATTAATTCGCTGTGCGCCGCAATTGCGCGCGGAACGTAATAATCGTCACGTGCGTGCACGTAATAACGGTGGCGGCGGCAATGGAGACGACAAGCGCAGTTACCGTATTAATGTATCGAACAAAATATACGAGAAATATTCGTGGGCGCGCGCTTTCGACTCCACACATTTCAAAGTGACATTTTTATTTTGACTTCGGCCGGTATCACGCGCAAAACTACGTTTCGTGCGATGATACTTAAACGCCGTTCCTGCACATGACGTTTTGCATTACAATTGCAAAATTGCTGCCTCTGACCGCTGCAGTTGTAGATAAAGACATATATGCAATTTATTTGCGCATATTATTCAGTGTACTTTTGTGCTGTCCAAGAACGTGCATTCGAGTGAAATTTACAAGAGTTTACAAACTTATTTCTTCGCGGACGTGCGTTCGGGTGAAATTTACAAGAGTTTATAAACTTATTTCTTCGCGGTGCGTGAAAAAATGCTACATTTGTTTTTCGGGTTGGTGCTGCACTTTTATTTGCAGATTTATTTTCAACATTTCGTGAACGTTTTAATTTATGTCAAGATGAAGAACTCTCCCTGATAAATGTTGGAAACACTCCATAAAAATTGCAGCTTTAATTCGGAGGTTGAACTTGATATATATTTTTTTTCTTATAGAGGAAAACCTCGAGCTTTTCGTTATTTTATCGTAGCCTATATTTTATATCTTAGCTCAAAAGTGTACTTGAGAACGCAACGGGATGAATCACACAATGACATGCAACTTTAATTGTTTTTATCCGTACTCGAATCGATGATTAAGTAAATGAGATGTTCAATTTGAAATTGTGTGCAACTTTGTGACTATACGGGAAAAAAAAGATTTGGTTGAATTAACCAAATATCTGGTCGAATATAAACGATCCAGAAATTCCGATTGAAGTAACCCGAATTCTGTTTAAGTTAACAAGATTTTTGGTAGATTAACCAAATATATCTGGTTATTTAACTAGACATGTTTGGTTAGTCTACCAAAAATTCTGTTAACTTAAACAGAATTCGGATTACTTCAGAATTTCTGGATCATTTATATTCGACCAGATATTTGGTTAATTCAACCAAATCTTTTTTTTCCGTGCACTATACATACATATGCGCGCACGTGTGCTCGTCTACGTAAGTCATTCACGCACGTTCGAGAAAGAGCGATCACGCGTGAATTGTTTTGATTTGCGAGGAGAGATCGGCATGCTTCTCTCGAAATTATTTCCGTTGAAATTTTATCAATGTCACGTGTAAAGGTGCATCGGGAGATGCACCGCGCAATAAAAACACGCTTATACTTAATTTGTCGTTGAGAATATCCCCGTAAATCATACTTAATTCGCAAGAAAAATTTCAATGAATCGATTGTTTGATAACCATCGGCTGAAAGCTGAGAGATTTAATAAGCAACAAAAATTTGCAGCTGATAAAATCGAGGAATTTATTTTCACGTTTATCTGCACAACACATGCGACACAATAATGATATTGTTCTCTTTTATCTTTATTATATATTAATACGGTGGTTGACAGGGGAGATAAACCATTTGTAAAAATATATCCGCGATGTTGTGTCGATTCATCAATTATTCCGCCTAATTATACGCGCACGTAAAGAAAAACGCGTAAAGATAAGGGAAAATTGATTGTTTTGTATGGTATGCAAATTTGTTCGAGCATCTTGTCAAAACTGATTGATTGCATGGAAGCACATATTTTCTTTTCTTCTTATTTTTTACTCGTTTTTATATTTCCGCTCATTTTACCAACGCTTCGAGAGGTCCTCGCTATGTTGAGATATATCGAAATATGTCAGGTTATTGAACCTGTCTTGGATCTTAGTTACGATGCAACAATAATCACACAGCGCGAACCGTCGCGCGAGTTCGCGTTGGGTGAATGCGTTGAATGAAGCTGCAACGTGTCGCGTAATCTCGGTGAATCGCGTAGCAAACGGTCCGTGTGCGTATAAATCTGTGATCGCGCGATGATAACTGGACCACAGTTATTGAATTAACAATGTTACGCGCGCGCGCGCGATAAACGCAATGATAAATAGACAGATATACTGTAAGAGAAAAAATATCTAAGAAAGATACAACATTTGTTCAGTAGATATTAATAACATATTTATTTATACTAATGTTTACTTATACTAAAATATTGCTAAAATATTTTTCAAATAAGAAAAAAATACTTTCTCTTAAAACCTTGGTTTTTCATGAAAGCAATTATTTATTCTATTCGAATAAAAGATTTAAATATGTTATTAGTACTTAAAGAAGTACTTAACGCGACATTAATTGGCGCACGATTCACAACGTCGAATGACAGTTCGAAGTTCGAAAAGACACTGTAAACTTTCGGAACATTCGTGGCCGACAAAATGTTCGTCGTGTTATCTGAGTCATCATGTATTTCTCTGAAAAAAAAAAGTATGAAATCATTAGTCGCGTTCAGCAGAAAAGTAGTCTAGTAAGCGCTTTCCGCTACACTTTCCGCGAATTAGTTACTTAAAGAATAAATACCTTTTATTTTCTAGATACTTTTTCTTTTACACAATGCACACAACGCACACTGTGGAAAAATATTCAATTTATTGGTAGGATATAAAGTTTACTTCTGTGAAATAAAATTTATTTCCGTGAATAAATTTGATATCCTATAAATAAATTTTCAAGTGTTTTTTCTCATTGTATGTTATTAAGCGTTTTGCGACAGTATCTCCTCAAATGCTAATAATTATACAAAATTAATAATAAGAAAGAACAACAAAGTATATTGTCTTTTAAATATAAGTTGTACATGTAACAGAATAGTATATTTAAGGAAAGTGCGCTTTAATTATCCACTTGACGCGAGGAAAATTCCGGAAAACGGCGGAGCAGTGAGGACGATTGCGTCACGACACAATTACACGTCACGTGTTACAATTACACGTATACAATAATTAAATACGTTCAATAGAAAATACTTTGTGTTACGTTGCCAGCGTAAGTCGCTTTATTTGTAAGATCTGCTAAACACTTAGCAATTTACGCTTTTCCTACTTATTTACTAAGCAGTCCAGCATATTGGAAGTATACCGGAAAAAAACAACGATCGCCTAGTAAACATATTAGAGAAGTAAACTGCTCTTGTCGTTCAATAGAAAATCTTACAACAGTTGCAAAACTGCAGTTGCAACGCAGCGGAAAGTGTAGCGGAAAGCGCTTACTAGACTACTTTTCTGCTGAACGCGACTAATGATTTCATACTTTTTTTTTTCAGAGAAATACATGATGACTCAGATAACACGACGAACATTTTGTCGGCCACGAATGTTCCGAAAGTTTACAGTGTCTTTTCGAACTTCGAACTGTCATTCGACGTTGTGAATCGTGCGCCAATTAATGTCGCGTCGCGTTATCTGCCGCGATATTAGTACGATATTAGATCTTTAGCGCGATATGTTAATTTCACACGATAGCGGGCCCGCTTGACTGATAATATTCGCGAGGCTTACACATACTATCGTGCGAAATCGCTTCGCGCTGGAAAATGAACATAAATGGATTGCACGGGATTATTTTCCTTTGCGCATGATAACTTATTATTCGCGTCCTTTACCAAGACGTTGATGAATCTTTGCAACTGCGACGGTACAGGTATATAAATGCGGTCATGGCGAACCATTAGAGCGTAGTCACGGCCGCATAACCGGTGTACCGGCAAACGCACGCCGAATGTACCGAATATTCTTAATCCGCGCAAATACCATCGCATAATATCGATCCCACTTATCGATGACAGTCGTACTACGCAGCTGGACTATCCTCGATTTCGCGATGTACTTTCTCTAGTCAAAACAGGAAATGTTTTTCAATTTATTTTAACATTTGCAAAACAATTTAGCCGCTCGCAGCACGTCTCTTGGAGGTATTCGCATAACCGGATTTTAATCCCACTCGCAGTATCGATGGAGAATCGAATGTATGCCTATGAAAATCTTAACACTCAGGCCCCGAGTGACCGAGCAAGGTACGGAACGAATTGTCTCAGCAGATGCGACAAATTCCATGTTTAAACAGATGCGCTCGTTATCTCTCATGTAATAATTTGGCTCGAATTTTTGCGTGTAACTTTCTAGATGACAAGTGATTTCGTTTCGTAAGTATGTCAGTGCGGCACGTCGGTATGCGTGACGTTACGTCATGATCACCGGTAATCAGCATCGTTGAGAACGAGTTCGGAACCCGACAAACGAATTCTTTCCGCGAAACAGAGCTGCGCGGCACGCCCGATCGGATTATAGTTCCTCGTCAGTCGAGGTGATTTCGCGCGAATATGGCTTTTAATGTCAGATCTTTAATCTCTTACGTTTCTATATATGTTTTGCGCAGAGTGAGAAAAAAATTCGTTTTATTGGGAGTGAGCGCGGCCACGTTTCTGGGCATTCTTATAGCTATCGTGGTGGTCCTTGTCACGCGCACTTCGGGAATCAAGTGCGGCCCAAAGTTCATCAGTTCCTCGAAACTCGGCCATTACAAGAAGGTAATGCATCAATCGGCCATTTAACACGAAAAAATAAAAAGAAAATCGATTCGAGCCAGTATTCATAGTTGTGAATCATTCATATTTATGGACGATCATTAATACAGCTATGTGGATCGATGTCTCTTGTGTGACATTGATGAATAATCGAAAATTTGTCCTGATTATTTATCAAATAATTATGCATTGTGAATACTGATCTCGGTTGCATTATGTAAACAAAATAAATAACCTCTGACACTCAACTGCGGAAACAGGAAAGAATGCAAGATAATTTAATAGAATTAATTTCGATTTTTAATAATTCTATTCCTAAAATTGATTTAATTAACTTTTATTTCAAACTACAATTTGTCACCTCAAAATTTTGTATTTTGCGAAAATGAAGTAAATATTCTCAAATATTAATAAGGAATTAATTTGATCTTTTATTTCACCAAATAATAAATGACGTTGAATAAAATAATAACGTTGTTTCTATTTGAGATACATCATTAGATAGTTTAGTAATGTATTTTTTTTCAATTATACTTGTGCTTTTGCACAACGCGTTACTTGCTAAGCGCATTCGCGGCGTATTTGACGTTCAAGAATTTCTCACATCTATTAAAATGTCGAACAGAGCGCTGTAACGACAAATGGTCAAGAATGTGCGGCAATCGGCGCCAATATCTTAGCTAAGAATGGTTCGGCAGTGGACGCGGCTATAGCGGCGCTCCTCTGCGAAGGCATCGCGTCTTTACACAGGTATACACTTTTTTATTTTTTCTGTCACAAAAAGCGCTTCGATGAAACTTTACGCGATGCTTCGCGAATTGAAGCTAGAATCACACGATTTTATAAGTGAAAGCACAGACTTTTGCATAACGTTTCCCCAGGATAGAAATGAAGCACTCCAATTGTTTGATTCCCTTATGTGTTATGCATTATACGTTATGCAAAAGTCTGTGCTCAGACTTTATGCCTTTTAACATACATGCTGACCGGTAGCTCAGTTCACTGCATAGATTTTTCGATGAAGAAGAGCGATTCGTACAATAAACTGGGCTATTATTCAGCATGCATGAAATCGTGTATGCATCGATTCTAGTTTTCGTTATATGCGTGTCTTTGTATCTATTCTTGCAGCATGGGCTTGGGTGGTGGATTTCTCATGACGATATGGGACGCGAAGACCCAGAAGGCGGACTTTTTGGACGCAAGGGAGACCGCACCGTTAGCTGCGACGGAAGACATGTACGACGGCAATGCCGACTTAGCTACATATGGTAAGATTTTTTCTTTCGCAATAAACGCGATACTCTTAAATATTAAAGTACAACTTTGATATTTTAGTGTTTAGCGCTCAAGAGGTAATTTAATTGTGAGCACTTGAATCTTCTCTCCAACGCAATATCGGAATATCGATAAGAAACATTTTAATAATGTATGAATTATATCACACTTATCGTACGCGTATCAATTTTCGTCTGTCGTTAATCTTGAAATTAGCTCATAGTAATAAAAAATTAATTTTGAAACAAAAATTGAAAAAAAAAATGTTTAACCAACTTAATAAATATGTAGTTTAACATGTGAAGAGTTAAACTTAGTAAATACGCATAAGTAAGTAAGATTCATATGACACTCGACAGGTGGTTTGGCGGTCGCGGTGCCTGGTGAGCTCATGGGTTATTGGGAGGCACATCAGAAGTACGGGAATTTGAATTGGGCTGAGTTATTCGATCCCGCGATTGAATTATGCCTGAAGGGATCGATCGTGAACGATTATCTCGCCGCTTATCTGCGCGAAAAGGGGCCTATGATAAAAAAGGAAAGCACTTTGGCAGAAATACTCATAGATCCTGCCACTAATGAACCGTGGATCGTAAGTATCCAGTAAATAGCAATTTTATATATTATAATTTTCCACTTAACAAGATATAACTATCATAACATTCGTGTTAAATGTTCGTTGCATTTGCGCTGGGCATTTAAGTGAGAAATTATACTGATAACTAGTGTTTACCGGTGAACAATTTAGTTTTACTTTTGGAACTATATATAATACATAAAATAAGGCTTTGCGCGCGTTTAGAAAATTATTTTTTAAGCGTTTGCCAAAAAGAACCTTGTAGTAAAAGGAAAAAAACTTACTCATAGGCAGGAGACAGAATAAAACGACCAAAATTGGCGAAGACACTGACACAGTTAGCCATTCATGGTCCTAATATATTTTACAACGGCTTCATGACTGACGAGTTGGTGAAGGAAATAACGAGATTTAAAGGGATAATCACGAAACAGGATTTCCAGACGTACAGGTGAACACTTCTTGAAACCTTCGAGTTTCGATATCTCCGACTTTCGAGTTTGTAAAAAGTACGAGGGTCTATTATTATCGAGAAGATAAGCTACTCGAGATATGACTTTACGACCTATTTTACGTAATTGAAATTTCGTCATAGTATACAGAGAGAAAAAGCCGTCTCATATAAAAGCGACATAATCGCAGATAATGAAAAGGTATAATAATGATAATATCCGAGTGATTCCGAAATAATCGACTGTGCAATCGCGGAGCGTCATTATCAAGAATGATTGTTTTCATACATTGTCGTGGCGGCCCGTTGTGCTCCCAATATCGAGATGAAGGACGCATGTCAAACGAAAAGAATTAATTCATTACACGTGAGCAAACGTCGTTTTATTGTTCGAAATAACAACGCGATTTTATTATCTATTGCCGCTCGGTTTATGGATTGATAAAAACGACAACAACGGACGCTCGATACGGGCCGATATCGCAATTATTATCGGACTAATAAATTACCTTACTTGTGCAGAAGCGAACTTTGAATTGTCAAGTATCTTCATCGATAACTTTCTAAATCGCGATCGCGAACTTCCGTTTAGATATCGATCACGATCGCGAAATTCTGAGGAGATAACGCGGGACTAGAACTAGCTAGAGATAATAGCACGATAAGAACCCCGTGTATTTTCGGCAGGGTCAAATGGAGGCAACCGATCGTGCTGAAAGTAGCAAACATGACGATTTACAGCGCCCCGCCGCCAGGTTCGGGTGCGATTTTAACGTTCATAATAAACGTCCTGCACCGGTTGATACCGGTAAATAATGAGCACATAATGTGGCAGCGTATGGTGGAGACATTCAAATGGGCTTATGCAAGAAGAACCGAGCTGGGAGATCCTGAATTTGTCGATGACATAAGTGAGATTATTCATATATATAATCATTCGCGTCGCTTATTCTACACGGAAAAAACAATTCTGTTGGTGCAACCGAATTTTCGATTGCTCAGGGATCAGACGAAAACTTGGCTATAGGAATAGAAAAATTCTTTTATGAGACATCTGTATAATCAATTGTTCTCAATTGCCTCAACCGAGTTTTAATATCGTTATTCAGACGAATATTTTCGGTTGCGACAACAGAAATATTAGTTTTCATAACAGAGATGTCGCTTCTGATCACCTAATTTTCAGTTGGTTCCTATTTGGTTGCACTAACTAAAATTCTTTTTGCGTGTAAGGAATGCAAAATTCGACACGACGTGTCTTGGAAATTTATCAATGCAAGTAAAATATTGCGCACTTTTGAAACGCGAGATATCGAACTTGTGACGATAGCACTGTATAATTTCGTGATAAGAATACCGGAAGATCGAATTGACGACAATCATAGCCGATAAGATCATGGTAATAGTTTATTTAATAGGTGTCGCCGAGTTTCATTAGAAGTGACGATTGTGTACTAACATTATCGACAGCGAGCGAATATATTTGCTCGGATATTACGTAAACACATCGCTTTTTACATGCAATGACATTTTTTTCGTATCGTGACGTTTTTTAGATATCAGTGTGCGTTGATTGCTAATTATGATTAATGAAGCGAGAGAAAAGGAGAGGAAGAGACACGAGTAGTTTTTCCTACACTTACGATATTTTTTTCCGCCATAACGATTCGACTTGCGTTTTCTTTTTACTGTGAGTCGCTGTCTTAAGTGTTACTATTGATAACCGGCCGCACAGTGACGTGTGGCGACGTGACGCGATGTGATGTGACGCGATACGATATGATCTGACGTAAAGCAATACGTCTCGTTTAATCAGTAAAACGCGTTGCACGAGATGATTGGGCCAAGTTCTTCCACGATTTTCATATTTTCTTCGAGCGAAATTTCACTCGGGAAGCAGAATGACACGACCGAGTCACTTCAATTTCGTTCTAACCGATCGAAAATTCGCTCGGAATTGATGATTTATCCTAAATTCGAGTAAAACATTCACTCTTTTCCGACTTCGATTTTTATTATTGTATTTTCATCTAAGATTTTGTTTGAAAGAATTTTGAGAGAATGAACGCACGAATGCTGTCAATTGCGAGCGCTTAAACGCGACGGTGTTATCTCGTTGCAGGCGCGGTGGTAGCCAACTTGACGTCCAACGATTACGCGGATATGATACGGGAAAGGATAAGGGACGACTCCACGAGTCAGGATCCGAGGGAATACGGCGCCATCACCGAAGGAATAGAAGACTCAGGGACTGCTCATGTCTCCGTCCTCGCTCCAGACGGCTCCGCCGTTTCCGTCACGTCGACCATTAATCAAGTGTAAGTAATTAATTCGCGATAGAAGTTAAGAACACACACGTGGTGAATTATCCGCGAATAGAGCAAGAGAGAGAGAGAGAGAGAGAGAGAGAGAGAGAGAGAGAGAGAGAGAGAGAGAGAGAG